GACAACAGTACAGGGTGTGTGATAACAGTACAGGGTGTGTGACAGTACAGGGTGTGTGACAGCAGTACAGGGTGTGTGACAGCAGTACAGGGTGTGTGACAACAGTACAGGGTGTGTGACAGCAGTACAGGGTGTGTGGCAACAGTACAGGGTGTGTGGCAACAGTACAGGGTGTGTGGCAACAGTACAGGGTTTGTGACAGTACAGGGTGTGTGACAACAGTACAGGGTGTGTGATAACAGTACAGGGTGTGTGACAGTACAGGGTGTGTGACAGCAGTACAGGGTGTGTGACAGTACAGGGTGTGTGACAGCAGTACAGGGTGTGTGATAACAGTACAGGGTGTGTGACAGCAGTACAGGGTGTGTGACAGCAATACAGAGTGTGTGACAACAGTACAGGGTGTGTGACAACAGTACAGGGTGTGTGACAACAGTACAGGGTGTGTGACAACAGTACAGGGTGTGTGACAACAGTACAGGGTGTGTGACAGCAGTACAGGGTGTGTGATAACAGTACAGGGTGTGTGACAACAGTACAGGGTGTGTGACAACAGTACAGGGTGTGTGACAGCAGTACAGGGTGTGTGGCAACAGTACAGGGTGTGTGACAGCAATACAGGGTGTGTGACAACAGTACAGGGTGTGTGACAACAGTACAGGGTGTGTGACAACAGTACAGGGTGTGTGACAACAGTACAGGGTGTGTGACAACAGTACAGGGTGTGTGACAACAGTACAGGGTGTGTGACAACAGTACAGGGTGTGTGACAACAGTACAGGGTGTGTGACAGCAGTACAGGGTGTGTGACAACAGTACAGGGTGTGTGACAGTACAGGGTGTGTGAAAGTACAGGGTGTGTGACAGTACAGGGTGTGTGACAGTACAGGGTGTGACAGTACAGGGTGTGACAGTACAGGGTGTGTGACTGTACAGGGTGTGTGACTGTACAGGGTGTGTGACAACTGTACAGGGTGTGTGACAACAGTACAGGGTGTGTGACAACAGTACAGGGTGTGTGACAACAGTACAGGGTGTGTGACAACAGTACAGGGTGTGTGACAGTACAGGGTGTGTGACAACAGTACAGGGTGTGTGACAACAGTACAGGGTGTGTGACAGCAGTACAGGGTGTGTGACAGCAGTACAGGGTGTGTGACAACAGTACAGGGTGTGTGACAACAGTACAGGGTGTGTGACAACAGTACAGGGTGTGTGACAACAGTACAGGGTGTGTGACAACAGTACAGGGTGTGTGACAACAGAACAGGGTGTGTGACAACAGTACAGGGTGTGTGACAACAGTACAGGGTGTGTGACAACAGAACAGGGTGTGTGACAACAGTACAGGGTGTGTGACAACAGTACAGGGTGTGTGACAACAGTACAGGGTGTGTGACAACAGTACAGGGTGTGTGACAGGAGTACAGGGTGTGTGACAGGACAGGGTGTGTGAGTACAGGGTGTGTGACAACAGTACAGGGTGTGTGACAACAGGGTGTGTGACAACAGTACAGGGTGTGTGACAGCAGTACAGGGTGTGTGACAGCAGTACAGGGTGTGTGACAACAGTACAGGGTGTGTGACAGTACAGGGTGTGTGAAAGTACAGGGTGTGTGACAGTACAGGGTGTGTGACAGTACAGGGTGTGTGACAGTACAGGGTGTGTGACAGTACAGGGTGTGTGACTGTACAGGGTGTGTGACAACTGTACAGGGTGTGTGACAACAGTACAGGGTGTGTGACAACAGTACAGGGTGTGTGACAACAGTACAGGGTGTGTGACAACAGTACAGGGTGTGTGACAGCAGTACAGGGTGTGTGACAACAGTACAGGGTGTGTGACAACAGTACAGGGTGTGTGACAACAGTACAGGGTGTGTGACAACAGTACAGGGTGTGTGACAACAGTACAGGGTGTGTGACAACAGAACAGGGTGTGTGACAACAGTACAGGGTGTGTGACAACAGTACAGGGTGTGTGACAACAGTACAGGGTGTGTGACAACAGAACAGGGTGTGTGACAACAGTACAGGGTGTGTGACAACAGTGCAGGGTGTGTGACAACAGTACAGGGTGTGTGACAACAGTACAGGGTGTGACAACAGTACAGGGTGTGTGACAGCAGTACAGGGTGTGTGACAACAGTACAGGGTGTGTGACAACAGTACAGGGTGTGTGACAACAGTGCAGGGTGTGTGACAACAGTACAGGGTGTGTGACAGGAGTACAGGGTGTGTGGCAGGAGTACAGGGTGTGTGACAACAGTACAGGGTGTGTGACAACAGTACAGGGTGTGTGACAACAGTGCAGGGTGTGTGACAACAGTACAGGGTGTGTGACAACAGTACAGGGTGTGTGACAACAGTACAGGGTGTGTGACAACAGTGCAGGGTGTGTGACAACAGTGCAGGGTGTGTGACAACAGTGCAGGGTGTGTGACAACAGTACAGGGTGTGTGACAACAGTACAGGGTGTGTGACAACAGTACAGGGTGTGTGACAACAGTGCAGGGTGTGTGACAACAGTACAGGGTGTGTGACAGCAGTACAGGGTGTGTGACAACAGTACAGGGTGTGTGACAGCAGTACAGGGTGTGTGACAACAGTACAGGGTGTGTGACAACAGTACAGGGTGTGTGACAACAGTACAGGGTGTGTGACAACAGTACAGTGTGTGTGACAACAGTACAGGGTGTGTGACAACAGTACAGGGTGTGTGACAACAGTACAGGGTGTGTGACAGCAGTACAGGGTGTGTGACAACAGTACAGGGTGTGTGACAACAGTACAGGGTGTGTGACAGCAGTACAGGGTGTGTGACAACAGTACAGGGTGTGTGACAACAGTGCAGGGTGTGTGACAACAGTGCAGGGTGTGTGACAACAGTACAGGGTGTGTGACAACAGTACAGGGTGTGTGACAACAGTACAGGGTGTGTGACAACAGTGCAGGGTGTGTGACAACAGTACAGTGTGTGTGACAACAGTACAGTGTGTGTGACAACAGTACAGGGTGTGTGACAGCAGTACAGGGTGTGTGACAGCAGTACAGGGTGTGTGACAACAGTACAGGGTGTGTGACAACAGTACAGGGTGTGTGACAACAGTGCAGGGTGTGTGACAACAGTACAGTGTGTGTGACAACAGTACAGGGTGTGTGACAACAGTACAGGGTGTGTGACAACAGTGCAGGGTGTGTGACAACAGTACAGGGTGTGTGACAACAGTACAGGGTGTGTGACAACAGTGCAGGGTGTGTGACAACAGTACAGTGTGTGTGACAACAGTACAGGGTGTGTGGCAGGAGTACAGGGTGTGTGACAACAGTACAGGGTGTGTGGCAGGAGTACAGGGTGTGTGGCAGGAGTACAGGGTGTGTGACAGGAGTACAGGGTGTGTGACAGGAGTACAGGGTGTGTGACAGGAGTACAGGGTGTGTGACAGGAGTACAGGGGCTGGTCAGTAGTAACAGTGGGAGTGAGAGAGGGAGGGTGCGGGTGTCACGGAGGCTGGTGTAAGACTGGATGACCTGGAATGTGGGTGAACGTGGATGCATGAGACTACTTACCTATTAGTACTTACCTAACAATGCGGATGAGGTATTCACGATGCGTACTTACCTAATGGACCATACAATTCTCAAGATGGTTCACTTCCACTTACAATTGACTTTGTTCAATATTTCATGAGTGATAAATATTAGTTGTGTGCGATGTCTTCTTCCCCATACTCCAGGCTTATAACGACACTTACAAACCTCACTCACACGATGTCAGTAAAGAATTCAATCTTAACATTAGAAAATGAAGGGACGACGACGTTTCGGTCCGTCCTGGACCATTCTCAAGTCGATTTCTAGCGTGTGGTCAGGTCAACATATTTCAGCCACGTTATTATGACTCATCATCTGCAATTCAATCTTAACTTTACCATTATCATACCTCGTTTGTTTCCTTATCATCTTATTTCATCTTTCATATAATGCTGCCTTGTGTGGTAACCAACTAAGAAGTGGTAGAGGGACACCTGGTTGATGGGGTTCTGGGAGGAGTTCTTCTCCCCAAGCCCGGCCTGAGGCCAGGCTTGACTTGTGAGAGTTTGGTCCACCAGGCTGTAGCATGGAGCGGCCCGCAGACCCACATACCCACCACAGCCCGGTTGGTCCGGCACTCCTTCAAGAAAACAGTCTAGTTTTATCTTGAAGATGTCCACGGTTGTTCCGGCAATATTTCTTATACTCGCTGGGAGGACGTTGAACAACCGCGGACCTCTGATGTTTATACAGTGTTCTCTGATTGTGCCTATGGCACCTCTGATCTTCAGTGTTCTGTTGTGCATTTTCTTCCATACCTACTTCAGTATGTTGTTCTCTCTCTTCTTCTCTCACGCTCTTCACATGTAGAAAAGTCCACCATACTCCACCCAGCCACAACAATAGTGACAGTCCACCATACTCCACCACACACCACACAGCCACAACAATAGTGACAGTCCACCATACTCCACCACACACCACACAGCCACAACAATAGTGACAGTCCACCATACTCCACCACACACCACACAGCCACAACATTAGTGACAGTCCACCATACTCCACCACACACCACACAGCCACAACAATAGTGACAGTCCACCATACTCCACCACACAGCCACAACAATAGTGAATAGTGACAGTCCACCATACTCCACCACACAGCCACAACAATAGTGACAGTCCACCATACTCCACCACACAGCCACAACATTAGTGACAGTCCACCATACTCCACCACACAGCCACAACATTTCTTCAGCTAACTATTGGGAAATTATGACGAGTAGAATTGTACCGGTACACTTCCAGTAGAGTACAGGAAGTGTACCAGTGTACACTGATACTACCAGAAGTACAAATTTTGGTGTTGAGATATGTTATACATAATTTACTTGAACTGTATTTAAACTTGTGGCCGTAGTATGAGAAGATAATACATGATTCATGTTTGGTATTCAGAGCGTCAACAAAGACGGGGAGGTGAAGCCGAGGTTCCTGGCCGTCACCGCCCTCGAGGACGTCCAAGCCGTGCGCTGCGCAGAGTTCCACCCGTCGGGACGTTTCTACGCCGTCGGCTCCAACTCAAAGACGCTTCGTATCTGCGGTTACCCCAAACTTTCTGATCTCAGGTAAATTTATTTACTCAAGTTTATGGGTTACATTTGTATTATGATAAGATATTTAAGCTAAATGATGGGGGTCGACCCCGCAGCTCTGGACTCCGCAAGCATGCACTACCGACTAGACCATGATGGGTTTACATAGTATGCCAACCTGAAGCACTACTTGACCTATGTGCTAATGTCCCTTTCCAGTCCGTTATTATCGTGAGGGGGCTTGGTGGGTAGCTGCCGGGGTGTGATGCTCCTTGGGACAGTCCTCTGTCCTTTTGAAGCCTTATGTTCCTGCTGCTGTCCTCACGAATTGGGCTAGATCCTATTTCCGCTTCCTTATGTTTCATCTTTCTCCCCCCTCCCCCTATCCTCCCTCTTCTCCTTTCTGATTTTTATTTCCTGTTGACTTTTTGCGATTCTTGATTATTCTTTCAAATGTCTTCTTCTGTTTTGATGGCGGGTGTTTGGGGGAGGCGCGCGCACTCGCCCATAAAACTGTCGTACCTGACGTTGTCGAGCGAGGGGGATCCTTTTATTGTCAATCTTTGCCTTCATTGTTGAGCCCAATCTCGACGAACTGACGGCTCTTAAGATGACGATTTGCAGGGCATATATCCACAATGCACCCCTTGGGGGCCCTGTCTTGTCACGTGTCCCATCCTTTAATTGTGGTTCCATGGTGAGTATGGATAAATCCATATCCATGGATAAATGTTTTTTTGTTCATTTTTATGCTGTTTTCTGACCTTTAACTTCTCAGACTCATGGGTTAGGCAACCAGGCCCACGAGTCAGACTGTGCTGGAAGGCCGGGCTGGCTACATTGGGCTCTAACTATGATACTTCTCTGACTCTCCCGACTGACCTTCTCTGCTCCCTTCCAACCTCTGTGGCAGGGTTGAGTCCCAAGCCCCCACTGGTGACCTCATCACCTGGTGTGGCTCCGTCTCTCGTCACAACTGCACCTTTTACCCGCTCTCTTACCAGGGGTATTCGGCGCCGTCACCTCCACACGTGCATGATTCCTTTCCAATTTTCTTCTTTCCCGACGTGTTTGGTCCTACTACATGGACTAAGTATTTTGATCTTAGTCATGTTGACCCTACTCGTCTTGATGATTTATTTCTCCATATTGACCTTGCTGATTCAGTGGATATGTCACCGTTAACCTCACCCTTACTGGTACCCGTGTTGTTGCAGCTCCTCCTCAGGAAGTGGCTGACCACTTCGCTTCGTTGTCGAGCATGACGTCACCATGTCGCTGCGCCCCTGTCTGCGCAACCCCTGGGAGGGGGAAGGGAAAGCCCCGGACCCCAGTTCTTTGGTTGATGTGATTGGCAACGGTCGTATGTCTTCACCTCCTGTTTTCCTGTCTCCAGTTCTGTGCCTTGTGATGTGGTGCTGTGTCCTTGGTTGTGTGTTTGCCAGGAGTAATTTCACAAGTACTTGGGCTGCATGCGCCTAGGGTCACCTTTCCTAAGTGCCCTGTAAGTACTGCTCTTGGGGCTTGGGGTCACCTTCCACGTCACCTTGGGATCTACCTCCACTGTCTTTTGCTGCTCGGTGGTTGACCACTCTTGGAGTCAGCTGGGGTGTTCATGCTCCCTTGTTTGCCTCTAGGTAGAGTGGGGTAGTTTTCGTCACTGGTTGGGCACAGGGTACTGTGCAGCTAGTCATCACCTTTCATAGCAGCCGGCTCTGTTCCGCCTGGGTATGTTGTCCTCTTGCAGAGTTTTTTTTTTAGTTTTTTGTGTTTTCCTGCCTGGGGGTCTGCCCCTTGGCAGACACATTCTGCCCCTTGGCAGAGTCGGTGACACATTCGACCCAGAGTCTTGTGAGTTTTGTTGCTTGTTCATACTCCAGTTCACCTAGACCAATAATCATGGTGTGCAGGGTGCAAGCAGCTTCAGAGTTGCATGATCGATTTAGGTTGCTGCAGCGCGCTAGGTTGGTTGCTACCCCGGATGCCCCGAGACTGCCCTGCTTTGGTTATATGGACCTGGACTTGGGGGGTGTTAGTCACCTTGACTTTGGTTCCATCTGCACCCCCTTGTGCTTTCCCTTCTGTTGTGCGTCCTGGTCCTACCCCCTTGCTTCCGGTTCCAAAGCATTTGAGGGCTTCGGAGTTGGGGCAGGGTTTAGTTGGTGTTGACACTTGGGCAGTTTTGGGGGAGTCCTTTTCTGGTGTGGCGATGGAGGTATTCGAGCCTGGTCCTCCGGCCAGAGCTTCTGGGTCTGACTAGTGGGCCCCTTTTGTTCCTACTTTTTCGGGTGCTCCTGCCTTTTCTTTAGAGGTGGGGGGTTTAATGGATGGCTTGGTCCCTGGTCCTCGTAGAGAGGTTCCCGGGGCGGGGCAGGGGTTTACATAGGGGCCCTTGGGCCCATTGGACCCTGCTTGGGTTTTTGTACCCTCGGAGCGGGGCTTGGTGTTACGGGGAGTTGGGTTATCTTCCCGCCCCCTCCTCGTACGAGTTGGAGTTGGTGTCTACCCCTCCCCAGGTTCAGTTCCGTGATCCTGAGTGTTCTTAAGTCCTGTCTTTCCGGAGGTTTTCTGCCTCCTGCCTCCCACCCCATGTGGTGCGGGAGGCCATTGTGGCTTACCTCCTGCGTGACCCAGATTATACCTTCGTAATGGATCCTACTTCTTCCGTAATGAATCCTACTTCTTTCGTAATGGATCCTACTTCTTTTGTGTATGGAGATTACTGTCCCAACTGGGCTCGTTATGAGGTTCCGGAGTCATCCTGGCTTGCAGACTGCCCCTTTTTCTCATTGGAGGTGTGGCATTCGTTCCGTCAGTCCTGCACGCTTGTGGCGCGAGGCTCGTACGGTCGTTCAAGTTTTCCTGGGGAGCGAGTTTGAGCACCTCAATGTGTGCCTGTTCATTTCTGCACTTCCTTGTGATGTCAGTGTGGTGCAGCTTAGTGTGCATGTCTCTTCCCTTTCAGCTGCATTGGTCGACTTGCGTGCCCGTGGCCTGTTTGCCTCGGCCTTGCCATTCTTTAACCTTTTCAAACTGTCCTCGGACTGGCTTGAGGAGGATGTGGAGGCGCTTGAGGCCGCTCCTGGGTCTGGTGTGTTGGCCTCGGCGGTGTGTATCGTCTGCACTTTTGAAGCTGTTTGTACCGATCTTGCGGGGTGCGGTGTCTCTGTTTTTTGCTTCCCGTCTTGTGTGTCGGTAGGCGGTGCTTGCTTCTTCTGTGGAATCCGCTTGGGCCCCTGGCTCTTAGGCTTTCTTCATTTTTTGCCCATTGCTGTTTGCAGAGTCTGCAGTTGTGCAGTATCTGCAGGCATCTTCATCTAGTTGACGTCCCATGTCGGACTTGTTGGTTCTCCAGGGGGCTCGTGGAGGGGGGGGGGGGATCTTTCCAGAAGGGTCTTGCCAGGGTTCATGGTTCCTCCCATCGTGGTGAGTCAATGTTGCCAGTTTCAGTGCTGGCGCAGCTTTCAGACCCGTCTTCGTCAGGTCGGCGTGGTGATCGCTGTATGCAAAGGTTGAGTTCCCGTAAGGGGCATCGGCCCTTTCATGATTCGTCCCATTTACTGATCGGGGGGGGGGAGGCTCGCTCTGTTTGCCCATGTCAGCTCCCACGATTCGTGGGCCTTTCGGGTCATTTCATGCAACCTGCGGTTGGGTTGAGTGGCTCTTCCTCCTTCGGGGGGTTCAGGGCTGGCGGGGCAGGCTGCTTCTCCTGCGCTCGGTCGGGTCATATCGGAGTGGGTTCACTTGTATGTGGTCAAAAGGACCTCATCCCTCAGGTGAGTTTCCCGTCTGTTTCCGGTTTTGAAATGGGACTGCGCAGACCTCAGGTTCATTCTGGACTTGTCCCGTCTTAACCTGTGGGTTTATTGCCCCCCCCCCCCTTTTAGATGACTCCTCTGTCCCAGGTCCGTCTGTAACTCAGTCCTCGGTGAGTGAACATTTAGGTGACTTGGTCGTGTTTACATATGTTGTGTGATGATCAGGGGCAGTCAAGTTGTAGGGTTCTCGAATTCTTGGATGATGACTCACTTTGCATATTAAACTGGAACATTTTAATTGAATTGCTAAATTATGATACTTCAAAGTTAAACACAATTTAAATAATAAATTCATAATTATATTTCACATGAAGTATCATAATTTAGCAATTCAATTAAAATGTTCCAGTTTAATATGCAAAGTGAGTCATCATCCAAGAATTCGAGAACCCTACAACTTGACTGCCCTGATCATCACACAACATATGTAAACACGACCAAGTCACCTAAATGTTCACTCACCGAGGAAGTCGTCTTCTGTTGGAGCTGGACACTTGGATGGTGCCCCTGGACCTCAAGGATGCTTATTGGCATGTCCCAATTCATCTGGGGTTCAGGGACTGGCTGGGTTTTGTTGTGGGGTGTCAGGGTTACTGCTTTTGTTGCCTTCTGTTCTGCAAGAATCTGGCACCTCGCATTTTCACATGCCTTACCTGGGTCTTGGTGGCCTGTCTGTGTCTTTTAGGTGTTCGGGTTCTGGCCTACCTCGACGACTGGCTGGTGTGGGCTCCCAGCCAGTCTGCATGTTATCTTGAGATTCTTGAGGGATCACTGCTCTGCTCACATGTCACATGTCTCACATCTCACATGTCTGCTCACCAGGGATTTGGTTCTTAACCAGCTCACCAGGTTTGGGTTCCTGGTGAACTTGCGGAAGTCCCATCTGGTTCCCTCTCAGGTTTGGTCTTTGCTGGGTCTTCTGTGAGATGCACCGACCGCTTCCTTGTCTCTTCCTCCAGAGGCTCTGCTTCAGCTTTGGTCCAGCCTTCGCCTGTTTCTGGGGGGCTCCTGGGTCACGAGATGGTTGCTCGAAGGTTTATACGGGAGCCTGAACTTTGCCATGATGGTCTACTTGCCAGATCGGGTTTGGCTTCGTCGGTTGTTCTGGTTCCTTCGGGGACGTCCCTTCTGCCTCTCTCGCGATCGTTGGGTTCGGCTTCTGGGGGGCCTTGCGTCAGTTGCAGTGTCGCCGGCTTCCTCTTTGGGTTTTTGGGT